AACCAACCCTGGATCTTACAATCTTTCCGCCATCTCTTCTGTAAATGGTCCCTGAGCCATGGGTGGATGAGGTTAAATGTAGGACTCCTATCCAAGGACACACATGCCTACTTCTCACCCACCACCTCTTTAAAAATATTTTATTATTAGCCGGGCATGATGGTACATGTCTTTAATACCAGCACTTGGGAAGTAGAAGCAGGCAGATTTTTGTGAGTTCAAGGCCAGCCTGGTCTACATAGTGAGTTCAGGTCAGCTGGGACTACAGGGAGACCCTGTCTCAAAAAGACAAAAAAAAAATTTATTATTTTAATTTTATGTGTATGAGTAAATTGCTTGCATGTGTTTAAGTGCACCTGTGTCGTGAAATGCTAGCAGAGGTTGGAAGAAGGTGTTGGATTCCCCTGGAGCTGAAATCATGGATGATTGTTAGCCACCATGGGGACCCAAACCTGGGTCCTCTGCAAGAGCAGCCAGTGCCCTTAACTGCTGAGCCATCTCTCCAGTCTCCTCCCACACATTTTTTTCAATGACGTTCTCTACCTAATATGCCAATCCCTAGTCTGTTTAAGTGGTAAGTGTAAACTTAAATTTCAAGGCACGGTTCCAATTTCAGTACTTTGGTCTTTCCTAACCCATTTCCTACTCTGAAGACTGATTTCTTTCAGAAGATCTGTGAAGACCTTAGTGCCCTAATTTCTGCCTAAAAGTCATCAGTGTCCAGGTACTGTCCTTCCAACTTGATAGAGAGCTAGGAAAAAGGGAAGCTGTGTTTTGCTGCCTTTGTAGCAGACTCTGGATGTGAAAAAGCTCCATCACTTACAGGTCCACCATGACTGAAGTCAGAAATCAGATGCTCTTTTCATGATGCCTGAGTACAGGACATGAGAGGCATGCTTTTGGAGGCAGCAGACAACCCCAGCATCCCACTACTTGGAAGACAATTGTAGCAGTCTCTTCCTTGATGCAGCTTTGAGGAGGTGAGATTGAATTCAATGTCTGGCAGTGGATGGCTCTTCACTTATGCCCCTCTCTCCCTCCCAGGAGTTTTGCAAACAAAACTGCATTATATTTCTTTGTGCCTTTAGTGCTTGCAGAGCTTTCTAATGTCTACACAAGTCAGTTTGTCTCTATTGCACTATAACCCTTTTGAAAGTACACAATGACTTTATTCTTATAACATAGAATAACCTCTCTTGAAATAAATAACTGGCTTGTATAATGAGCCCATAATGACTCCAAACTGTGTATCCCACTAAATCGGAGCTTCACCCTGTGCACACACTGCCCATCTCAAGCTCCCTTCTTGCCCTGGCAGCCGGATCTCTGTCTTTCCTGTACTCTACCATCATGGCTCCAGTTCTCATATTCTGTGTGTCTCTTGTGCTTTTTGTGTGTCGATGGCTGGTCCTGTCTGTATCTTCATACCTGTCATACGTTTAGCACAACTGGAAAGAACACACTTAAATATCCCTCTCCATAATAAATAATCTTCTACTGATGTCCAATGAGGTAAGAAAGAACAATTCTAGTATTTTCTGAAACTGTGCTTTACCTCTCTATGTCACTTAGGAATAGTTTTGGATGTATGTAGAGAAAAATATAATCACAGTGAACTAAATAAGGGCAGAGTCTAAGTTTTACTTCATACCAAATCCCTGGAGGTGAGTGACTGTTAGCTATATTCAAGTATTTGGAGGAGCTTCATGTCAGTCTTCTGACTTTTCAATCATGAATGCAGATGGCACCCAAAGATTAGGTGTCATGCTTCCTAAAAGGAGGGAGTTGGAGCCATTCTGCCTGTGGCTTTTATCAAGAGAGCAAAGGCCATCCCAGAAGCCATCTAGTCCCCTTCTGCATCTGTCTCATTCATGATGGCCATCGCTGGTGTATTAGTCAGGGTTCTCCAAAGAAACAGAACCAGTAGAATGAATATGTATAGAGATTTATCAGTTTAGCTCACAGGATAGAGTCTGAGTAGTCCAACAATGGCTGTACCACACTGGAGAGGCTGAGACTCCGTAGTCACTCAGTCCTAGAGGCTAGATGTCTCCGTAGTCCCAATCTGGTGCTGAAGGTCTGACGAATTCCAAAAGATCAGCTAGTGTTCGGTCTACAGCAGCAAGACGAACTCACCAGTGAGAGAGAAGGCAAGCAGCAAGAAGCCAGGCATTCTCTGCCCTGGCCTTTTATATGGGCTGCCATCCGAAGGTAACACCTACATTTAGGGTGTGTCTTCCAGCTTCAGATGATCCAATTAAGATCTCTCTCATTTCAGTTAATCCCAGATCTAGTCAAGTTTACACCCAGGATTAGCCATCACAGCTGGTGACAAATAGCTCAAGAAAGGAAGTTTTCAGCTTTGTGATGGGAAGAGAGCTGGAAATGGCTTTGGGGTTAGCTTATGGTGGTGACTGTATGTTTAATCTAATACCCTTGATATTCTTTGGGTATGCTCTAGGCCTCTTGTTTTCTCACATTTCCCAGAGGTGCTTACCACTGTGCTATGGTTGTGACTGCCAAGTTATACAGTAACTAAGATCAGAGGTGGTGAAACTCGCCATCGTCTGACATGGAGTAGATTAGGAGAGATGCAGGCACAGTAATAAGATGCAGACTTGAAGGAATACAAGAAACTTAGTGAGATAGGTATATGTCATTTTCATGGTACTTTCCTAGTCTCAATTTAGGGTCACTGACCTCTTCTAATGTTATTATTAGCTTTATAGCATTCCCTTTCTGTGTTTATTGTAATACACCAATGTCACTTACTGCTTGTACCTCTTACGGTATGACATGCCATTCTGGATTCCAGTTCAAACATCAAATTTTCATGTTTATCAGCTTTACTCTGAGCTTAAATATGCTTATCAAAACTATCAAACTGTTGGTTCATCAATAGTTTTGTAAAAGAAAGAGAGGGTTTATGAGTACTGCATGTGCATGTGAGCTACAAACCTGAAATGCTTAGGGAGCACTCAAAGGGCTCTTATCTCAAGGCTCTCCTTAAATTCAGTATCAAATGTCAGGCAGTTTCACTTTATTTCCTCTCCCTGTCATTATTCTAGTATTTTTTTTTAATCATGAAATAATATTAAAATGATTCCTGAATCATGGTTGAGGGAGATGATTAAAATAAGGAATTCCAAAAATAAATCTGGAAGGAAAGTATCTTTGGCTTTTATGGTGGGATGGTAACTGATGGAGCTGAAGTGAGGGAGATAGGAAGCTTTGGGCTGGTACACTGTGACTCTCTGACCTCTTTTTTTGCATAATGTGAAGGATTCCCCTCAAGTGCCTGTCACCAAATCAACCAGCACTGTCTAGTGCTTCCGGGCTGGTCACTTACTGCAGGAAGGCTCTGCTCAAATTATTGGATAGACTGCTTCTGTGATAATAGTATCCTTCCTGCTGGTAGAAATTAGATATTACAGTCTTTACTAATTTCAGGCTAGTGGCCTCTGTGCCTTCCCCAAAGAAAACTGCTTTGAGATAGTGGTTAGAAATTGGGATTGTAAATAAATCCAGAAGAGGTTTATCAAGATTTCTTTCCCATACAAATGAAAATAAAATATCACATTTGTGAAGTTCTATGGAAGGAAACATTGGAAAGCTGTTAAGTTGCTCAGTAAGGAGAATGTTGTATTTGAAACACCACCAACCACATCAGCCACTGTTAGAACTGCAATCAGGGAAATTACTTGAAATGTTTATGCTCACTTCCAGTCTTCAAATTAAAGCAGAGTTTCATGTCCCTTTGGGTTGTAATTCAAATTCTCTCTTCCTCTCCTAGTTCCCATAAATGTGGTGGTTTTAAAAAAAACTTCCTCACTTCTGAAGAACAACTACTCCACATTTAGCACTTTTGTTTCTATTTTCTGAGAGCTTTATTGCCTATGATGCTTTGAAATCACAGACACCTATTTCCAGTTCTCTGTGCAATAGATGTTTCTTTCTGAATTTAAGCATGTGATATCTTTGCTCAGTACTAGCAGACAATTTTGGTTTCCAAGTCAAATAGCCCTAGCCATTGAATCAAACTTTGACTACATCTTAGAGGTCAAATAGGTCAAATAATTTCTCATCCTATCTGGTCCTTTCTCCACAACAGTCCTGACAAATGCTGCTTCAGCTTGGGTTTTGGTGTTTCAGAATTCAGGGCTCTCTGAGTAGAGCAACAAACTTTACACGGCTCTCTGACACAACAGTACTTTTATTTGCCCTCCATCCCCTTCTCACCACCTGCGGCAACCTGCCCAATTCTGTTTTGTGGAGCACCACAGACTGAATCGTCCTTGAGCCAGGCCAGTACATCTGATCATTAGTGTGACAAGGAGAAAATTTTAGTGATGCCTGCAAGTGTGGACAGCTGCTTTTACAGAGGGACAAGCCTGTACAACACAGCTATCTCCAAATTGTATTGGAAGATTTCAGTTCTTTTGTTCATCCTTTTTTTCCTTATACTTTTCCTCCAAATGGGTAAAACATGACCATACTCAAGATGCACAGGAAAGTAAATGGGCCACCCAAGCAAACTACTGCTCACTTTTCCAGACAAGCACGCATGCACAGAGACGGAAACAGAGACACAGAGACGGAAACAGAGACACAGAGACAGAATTACACGTCTGATCCAATCCAAACCCCCCATTTTCCAGACGAGTAATGATGGAAAGTGACAGGGGGATGAAAAAGTGGGAAGATCATAGAACCCTCATTTTTTTAAAAGGCTCCTAGCTCAAATGTGCTCTTCTTCAGCACTTAATCGAAGACTAGCAATCCAGATCCTCAAAACGTAGATCCACAGCATAGGGTGAGCTTCGAGCTGTGGCCGCCAGGGGGCGCCCGTGAACGTCAGGGCCGGAACGCGGCCAGAGGGGGCGTGCGTGTTCATCCAGCTCTGCTCGTGGGCGAGGACGCGGCGTCGGTGTGGGCGAGGGCAGACAGTTGCTGTCCGAGCGTCAGTGTGTCGTGTGGGCGTCGTGGGTGCCTGTGAGGACATGAACAAGTACGCAGTGCTACCTCGGGCTCAGCTGCATCTGGATTTCATCCACGCAAACTCGTGAGTTGGAGGAGGGTGGGAGTCGGGTGGTCTGAGCGATGGCGAAGGCCTTTGTCTGCATTCTAACAAAAAACTCAGTTGGAAAACAGAAACCTGATGAACTTGGTAGGTTGATTTAAGAATGCATTTATGCTGTGTATGTTACTCATATGCAGAGAAAAGTTCTACTCAGGGACTGACGGAACCATTTAGACGTTCTTCAACAAAAGCCAAGGGGAAAGATGGCCCCCACCTTTATCATTTAACAAAAATGTTGGTCAGCGGATCCGAACTACTTCCGAGACTGTCTACCTTGTTTTGACTCACTGGAAGACCATGTTTATAAAGATTCAAGTTGCCTTACAAACTCATAATTTGCATTCATTGTGTTCAGTTCCTGAGAATTTCCAAAACTAACCTGTTTGAGGGCAATAATCTGCTATTTTTCCTTTTCCACCTGGCTCAGATGCCTTTTGGGGCTCCTCATGGATGGAACAGATTCTAACCACAGGATTGGAGGTATCAAAAAATCTTAAGAAGACTGACCTTGCTTTATAGGACAATCTGCATAATTTAAAAATAGCATAGCAGATCTGGAGAGGTGGCTCAGCGATTAAGAGCACTGGCTGCTCTTGCAGACTACCTAGGTTTGATTCCCAGCACCCACATAGCAGCTAACAACCATCCATATCTCCAGTTCCAGGGAATCTGACATCCACTGGCATTGCACACACAGGTGCATTTACATACATGCAGGCAATGAACACATACACATAAAAAATTTTAAGAAATAGCAGAGGGGGCCAAGTATGGTGGTCCACTCCTTTAACCCCAGCACTCAGGCGGCAGAGGCAGGGGCAGGTAGATCTCTGTGAGTTCGAGGTCAGTCTGGCCTCCATAGCCAGTCCCAGGCCAACTGGGACTATAGGGAGATCCTGTCTCAAAAAGACCAAGGGAAAAAACAATCCAGATGGGAACAGACACTATGCAGAAGATCTATTTACCCTTTTACTCTCTGTGGAGAACGTTTACAAGCTGGAAAGGATGGGTCAGGTAGTTAAAAGGTGACCGGTTAAAGACAAATGAAGAAACAGTAATTTTTTTTTTTTTTTTGGTCTTTTTGAGACAGGGTCTCCCTGTAGCCCCAGCTGTCCTGGAACTCATTTTGTAGACCAGGCTGGCCTTGAACTCACAGAGATCCACCTGCCTCCACCTCCCAAGTGCTGGGATTAAAGGCATGTGCCACCACGCCCGGGTAGAAACAATAGTTTTGAGTAAGTTCAAGAAATAGCATTAGCCCAGTGCTGGAAGGACTGAATTTTATCAAGAAGCACCTCACCCTGGTTGTGTGTAGTTTCTGTTGCTGCTTCTTCCCAGCTTCTCCCTCCTTCCCCCTGTCCTGTGCTATTCCCTTCTGTGGTCTAGTTTTCGGTTGATGTGACCAACAAACATGCAGCAGGATGCCACATGTCAAACAAATACAAACTGATGTCTTCTCAGGTGTCTGGTAGCTGTTCCTAGGAGACTTCCTCATATAAAAATAGGAGAATATTTTTTCTGTCATTTGAAACAAGGTTTTGAACTGTGTGGCCCAGGTTAGCCTCAAACTTGAAATTCCCTTGACTCAGCCTATCAGAATCTGAGATTGCATGTGTGTGCCATAACGATTTAGATTTCTCCCTTTGCTACATCTGTCAAGTGCCTGCCAAGCGCTTGCCAAGTGCCTGCTTTCTCCATCTTTGCTACCACTGACTTCATTTCAAGCCACAGCACCTGTTTTCGGGACCACCTTCCACACAGCCCCTTAACTGGATAGGCCACTTCTCTGAAGAGGGGTTTCCACTTACATGCAGGCCTCTGTGTTGGGGCATGACCTTATGGTGCTCTTCCCTTAGCCTATTCTCCCCATTTACCATAAGCTCAGCATGGCCTCCTTTGCTCTTCACTGCTTTGGTATCTTTACTTCTCTGGATCATGTGGGAAGGTTTCCATCGTGACCCTTCAATTTTCATCTTTAAGGGGTCAGCAGAAGTATCTTTAGTCAGGAGAGGCTCCCTGACCACCCTACTCTCTCTCTGCAATCACTCTTTCCCATCACTGCTGTGGAGGTTACACCTAATGAAGGCTGGGAAGGTCATCTTTGTGTGTTTACTTGTGCATTTTCCATGCCTCCCTTCTAGACTGAAGTTTGAGTTCCAAGACTACAAAAACCCTGTCTGTACATAGAGGGACATGGTGGTAAATGCTGATAAAAATCTCTTGAATGAGATAGCACAGAAAATCACATGGCAGTTTATGGTCAGAATTATTGCACTTCCAAGGGCTGGGGATTGGTTATATATTGAATTTTAATTTTAAAATCACTGGAAGGGCTTGTGGTTTGCCAACAAGTGATGATATATCCCTTTTTTTAAAAAAAGTATTTTAATATATTTCTACCAGTTTCTATTGAGTGAAGGA